AATTATATATTACAATATTTCATATTATAATATATAATTTCCAACAGTGAGTTGCTGAAGTACTGGATCAGATGTTAATGGCTGCTTAAATGGGGTTTTAGTATACAGATGTTTAGATTAGGATTTTTTTTTTTTGCCATTTTGTGATCGAGATCCAATTGTAGGTTTCGTGTTGCATGTCTCCATCTTTAAAATTTAATTTTTTTTATTAAAAACAGAGCATATAGCAGCATGTGAAAATATATGGATTAAACTATAAATGCATACGTTACAGACTACGGACACAAACCAACACGAACTCAAAAATAGCCGGAGGGTCTATAAGTGTCATTGTATTTGTAAATAGTACTACAAACAAATCATAATTCCACACGACCCGCCCCATTAGTGTTCTATTCAAATGCCTATGGATCTCATATCAACATTTACGAGGATTCAACACCTGAATAATTTGATCCTAGAGCATATTGTTCAAAATCACCACGGCTGGTGTATCATTTTCACTTGCTTTACTTGCCTCCCAGGCAGAAATGGTGGCTTCTCCACTTTTCCCCCAAACAGATATGGTATCTTCTCTAGCGGTATTTGTTCGTATGCTGGAGTGGTATCTTCTCCTGCCTTGCCTATCTCCCAAGTAGATGCGGCATGTTCTTTAGCTAGAGTTTTACCCCACGATGATGAAGAGCATCAATTGTGTGGCTCTTGCTTTTTTTTGCCTTTACTTTGAGCAACGATTTTTTGTGCCGTAATGAATTTTTCTCATAACGCATATAAAAACCTTTGACTTTGGTGCTTTTATTAAACCTAGAAAAACGCATATCTCACTTTTACAATTTGATTAGTAGTTGTTGAATAGATTTACCTAATTCTTTTACTATCAATTTGATTTTACATGCTTTGTCGGTTTTTATTCGTGTAAGTATATAAAAACTGCGTCATGAAGCTAATTACAATTGGTAAATCTATAGATGAGCTGGCATCGTTAGGTCATGCGCTTAAACTCAAAACATGCTAGAGTATTTCTATCATTAATAATTTGTATCAAACTCAACATTTCATAAGAGTCCAAATTGAGAGCTTTGTGAAAAAGAATGAAACTACATCACAACATTACATTGCTTGTAACACATGCTAATATTTTTTTAACTAGAGCAAAAGTCCATTATCTTGCCTTCCGGACTTTGTCATGGTTGCAATATCTGGTGATTTATCTTACCATGTTAGCCTGTTGTAAGATCAACCAAAAGTGTTTTGCCCTGTTGTTATTCTTTTGCATTATATGCTTTTTTTATTGTTAGCTCGATTGTGCTTTAGTATTGTTGGTCTTTCTCGGTGTTAAATTCTTCATGCTGTCTCACTTTTGCATCTAATTAGTCAACCTAGGACAAAATTTAAACGTTTTAAATCCTGATCATCTCTATTTCAAGCAATGCATTTTTTTTTTTTGCTAACCTAAAAGCTTTTGCTAACCTAAAGGCTTTTGATGCATGTCATTTCTTTAAAGTATTAAAACATACGTCGTTCCAATTATATATGCGTTTATATTTTCTCTTCCTTTTTGTAGGTTCTACAACTTTTGTTTTAATCGTTACAATCTTGCATTACTGCTCAGTAGGATTTGTGCCCAGCTACAATCCCGTCTCTATATCGGTTAGATTTCTGCACCTTTAAGGAACATTACCTTCTTCATTTCTGTTTGCTCTTTTGAGACCTTATGGTTGCTTTGTTGTTTGATCTTTATGTTCGTCTTCTTTATCGCTATTTTTTTAGCAATCGTTGCATGCTTTATTCATACCTTTTACCATTTGAACGGGAAACAACGCTGTTCAAGAAGACAGCCGCATATTAAGTTTCTCTATTCTTTGTTCTAATCTAATCTCATTATGATTGTGTTTTTACTGTTATGTTTAGAATGTGTTTGTGTTTTCAATGACCTCTTGCTTTAATGGGTTATAGTTCGCTGCTAATTTCATTTGGTTTAGATGGTTCTTTCGTTCATGTGTTGCTTTTATTGAAGAGTGAACCGCTACTGTTTCTGTTTTTTTTCCACTTTGTATAGTTTTATGTCTAAACGAATAAGGCGACCTAGAAGGGCCGTTGAAATTTAACGTGCCTATTTGGATGCGGTTGTTGCGGATGGTGATCTCAATAATTCAGAGTTGCAAGATGTTCCCACCGCTTACGATGATCAAGATAATGATGTTTCAACATCTTTGAACAACCAAGACAGCCCTCCCCAAACATTTGCATCAGCTTTAAAACAAAATATTCCCATCCGTGGTGTTTTTAACCCACATTTCGAACCTGGGACAAGTTCTCATCAGATTTCTGTACCGGTTTTCCTTGCTGATCGTGCCAATGTGCACAGTTTGTTAGCCATTCATGCTCAAACCAATCATTCTGGCTTGAACCCGCTAATAACCGGACAAGCCAACTATAAAAAAAAAAAGAAAAAGTATGCAATCTTTCAACATAACTCTATTCTCATTCTTACTAATTTCAAAAGTTAAGTTTCCTCCATCGGTTAACTTAAGGTTGTCGATTTGATGAATGCTTCTGTTAATCTTTGTTTTTATAGGGATTGATCCAGAATATGTTGATTTTGGCTTAAGAAATTGTCAATGTCAATATTGCGGTGCTCTGTTTTGGTCTGCAGAACAGTCCGCCAAGAATGCTTCATCTTCAACCTTGCAGTTCACCACGTGTTGCATGAGTCAAAAAGTAAAATTCCCACGCGTTAAACCCACCCGTCCTTATTTGGATGATTTGTTGAATCCCAAAAATTCTCGAAACAGCTTGCAATTTAAAACAAATATTAGATCATATAATTCAATGATGGCATTAACATCAATGGGAGCCAAAGTCGATGCATCGATCAACAAGGGTCGGGGTCCTTATGTTTTTAAAATTAATGGTCAAGTGCATCATTTGATGGGTTCTTTATTGCCTCTGGAGGGCGAAAATCCTAAATTTGCACAACTGTACATTCATGATACTCAAAATGAAGTCAGTAATCGTATTGGTTGTTTTAGTGGATCAGAAACTGTTGAAAAACTCGACCATCATGTTGTTGATGGCCTCATTAAAATGCTAGACGAGTGTAATGAGGTCATTAAACTTTTTAGGCTCGCTAGAGATATGATTGATGAAGGGTCCACAAGTCATTTACGTTTGCGTTTATACAGTGCACAGGCTAACAATATAATTTGCCGACGTGTGACGAGATAGGTGGCTTGATAGTTGGGGATATCGGCGAATTCCACACTGAAAGAGATATCATTGTGGAGAATAGGACGCATGGCCTACAAAGAATCACAAAGTTACATCCTAAGTACATGGCACTACAATATCCTCTTCTTTTCCCCTACGGTGAAGATGGGTATAAGAAAGGCCTTCCTTGGAATCCGGATTATAAAGGGAAAAAACCAAAAACTGGGGGAGTATCACTGAGAGCGTTTCTAGGTTATCAAATTCAGGATAGACCAGGACAAAATGACACCCTATTGAAAGGTGGTAGATTGTTTCAACAATATTTAGTTGATGCATATGCCACGCTTGAAGAAGATAGGTTAGATTTTATTAGGGCAAATCAAGATTCTTTTAGAACAGAAAATCTTAAAGCAATTCATGAAGCACTTAAAGCAGGAAATACAAGCAGTTCTGGTGTTGGCAAGAGAGTCATCTTGCCAACTTCGTTTACTGGCAGCGTTAGATATATGATAAATAATTATCAGGATGCGATGGCCATATGCCGTCACTTTGGAAATCCTGATTTATTTATCACTTTCACCTGCAATGCTAAATGGCCTGAAATTATTGAAGATCTACGTGATAAACCTGGTTGTAGGCCTGAAGACAGGCCTGATATAGTCTCCCGAATTTTTAAAGCAAAGCTTAACCAAGTGGTAAAACAAGTGGCTAGCTTGCAAGACATATATTTAACCATCTTAACTGCGGAAGCAAATGAACTGTGAACTACATATTGCTTCTGTTTCTTCAGTTTCTTATGGGAACAATCCTTTTGCATTTTTTTTTCTTTTAACATTTGTGCTTCGGAAATGTTTTTTCTTAATGCTAAAACAAATGGCTAGCTTGCAACACACATATTTAACCATCTTAACTGCAGGAGCAAACAAAGTGTTAACTGCATGTTGTTTCTGTTTCTTCAGTTTCTTATGGGAACAACCTTTTTGCATATTTTTTGCTTTGAACATTTGTGCTTCGGAAGTTAGCTACTTAAACAAGTACTTGAACATTCAGTTTCATCCTACTAATTGTGTAACAGGAGAGATTAAAAAAATGGCAGAAATTGTACATACAGAAGAACACAAACTTTATTCTTTTCTAGAGTCCCTGTTGGATCAGTGGTTCCCATCAACATATAACTCTGAGCACTAGAAATTTTCCCTTTTTTAAAACTAATATTTTCCTCTTTCTTCAAGAATGACAAACGATGTTGCAAATATGATTCTTCTACACGAATATGAGAAGACATCAACTTAAACGTGTTGTAATCATCATCCATCCCGCCGTAGCTTAAGGCAATTGGAAATACAGAACATGAAGGAACGAAACCCATCAAGGAACTAGAAATAGTGAAAAGAAAAAAAAATTTAATAGGATGTTATATAATTCGTAGACATGTATAAAAACAACAATATGGCAGCCATTTAAATAGATAGAAATATAACCTTACTTTTGGTTGCTGCACGCCTGTTGCAAAAAACACCATTGAGTATTTTCCAGATCTTTCATCAGTAACTCCATAAAATAATCTTTCGGCACCACTCCATGGTATAGAAAGGCAATTAAATTCTTATTGGACATAGAATGCAGTAGGACTCAAAATTGTTGTTAAAATAACACTGTTAAGAATATGAGCTTTACTTACTGACTTTGTGTCTTATTTATGCAGTTACGCTTGAAATGTGTCTTCTTCATGCAGTTACGCCTGAAACAGTTGGTTCCCGCAGCAACGTGCGGGTTTATTTCCTAGTTACTTTAGTCTAAAGAAAGCGTTGGAAATGGCACTGTAGAAATGAACAGTGACTTGAGAGTTATTTACAAAATTGCCACCGCTCTTTATTCTTCGTTCGGTGAGCCATGCTTCAGCCAAAACAGGTGCTCTCTCCATTTTTCATCTCTTCCATACTCAAACCCTAGCCGCTCCACTTCTCTCTCTCATCTCCCTTCGTTAGCTCTACCTACAACTCAAAACCTCGACAAAACACACTTCCCCTTCTGCAAAAGCTTTCTCTCTCGTTTTGCTGTCTATGTAAACCCGAGAGAAATTCCATGGAAACATCACGCCTGCAAACGAAGTTGCAGGCCCACACACAAGCAAGCTCCATCTGGAAGCCGAAGAATCCAAAGGTAAATCCTTTCGAACTCTTCGATTATGAACGTCCATCGTCTTCCTCCTCGTCTTCTTCTACTGCTGCTTCGACCAGTAGGGATACTTGAGGCCCGAATCGAACGGTCAGGGTTTTGATGGAGGGTTTGGAGGGTCCGACGATCCGATTTTGCCAGCGCCGTCGGAGATGCTGCCTGAGGAGGGCTTCGCTCTCAGAGAATGGAGGAGGTAGGGTCTCGAATTCTGATTGTTTTCGATTGAACCGATAGTTCTGTATAGCAATTAAATTTTGACTCTTTTGTGCAATTTAGTTGAAAGTTGTTGGTTTTGATTTGGTTATACTCTTTTAGTTGAAAGTAGTCATTTAAGAACATTTTAAATATTTTTGGGGTAGAGCAAAAGTCCAATTCGAACTAGAGGGTTGAGCGGGATTTTGGGGGTAGGGTTCTGAGGGAATGGGCCGCGGTGACAGGGAGAGTGCAATTCGAGGGACAGAAAGAGAGAGGGTTGTGTGGTCATCAGTCCTCTTTTACCTCCATGATCCATTAGCTTTTTCTCTTTTGTGCTTTTTTCATTGTCATAGACTTTAATCTCCTTTTTTTTCTCTCTCTAAATTGGTAAAAATAACTTCCATTTTCTATTCATTGAACAAAACCCAGAGAGAATTTCTCTCTCAAATCAGTGTTCCTTGATTCATTTGGTAAAAACCCTTTTGGATTTAGAGGCAGATTAAGGGTTTTGATTTGGGCAGAAACCATGGCAGCTCCAAAACCAGAAGAGATAAGCCATCCAGCAATGGACCAACTCCAAGGCTTAGAGTAAGGCATTGACTCAAATCCCTCTTGGGGTATGTTTATTTTTCACCTTTTCTCGTTTATTATTCATCTTTTCTCAAACCCCAAATCTCGACTTTTTTGTTGGGTTTTAAAATTTCCCCAATTTGGTTCTCATTTTTTGTTTTGAAAACAGGGGAAACAATAGCTTTGGGTTTCCAGCACTACATTTTGGCCTTGGGAACCGCTGTGATGATCCCCACATTCCGTGTTCCTTTGATGGGTGGTGATGATGTGAGTTGATTTTGTGTACCACTTTCATTCAATTCATATATCGTTGTGGCCTTTGTTCAATTGGAGACTAAATTCAAGTAAATTTGGTGTATTATTATGCTAATTTCTTAAAAAAGAATTAAGCGTCAGTTTCGCATAGCAAAAATGGTCAAGATTGAAATTTTTTTTTTAATGTTTGTGTATTTATATGGACTGATATGGATGATGAATGTGCTCCTTATTTGACTTAATTGATTAGGGTGACAAAGTGAGAATAGTGCAGACTCTGCTTTTTATTCAAGGAATCAGCACACTTCTACAAACATTATTTTGAACCCGATTACCAACCGTAATTGGAGGGTTTACACATTCATGGTCCGAATAATATCCATAATTCATGATTCACGGTTGATGAAGATTGAGGACAATCATGCGGTATGTTCAATTTTTATCTCACTTATGCATTTAATTTGGCTTTGTGCAACTTGAATTGTGTTCTTTTGTTGACACTCGATAGAAACCAGGCTGAGTCCATTCTTTCCCCTGCACGAATGCATGAATAAATGTTTTAGATTTTAATCATTGTGACTAGGAACATGTGCGTCTGTATAGATGATTTATTGATGAATTTCATAGAGTTACTTTGTAAATCCTTGCCAAAATTTCGTTCAGCTAGCAATTACTTAGTTTGCATTCCTTCATAATATTGTAGACGAAAGTTTCTCAAACAGCTTTAACAATCTACCTTACTATTAATCTGGTGGTTTCTGAGATATATGTTGGCAATATGCTGATTAGTATCTTTTGTTCTCTCCCCTTCCATCTCTAAGAATGAATGTTCATATATCTCAATTTCAATTTTCATTGTTCATATATCTCAATTTCAATTTTCATTTGTTTTTTTTTTACCCACACTTCATTTCATCTTCAAGTGCTTTCTTCAATTTTTATTTGCACTTTGTATTGAGTAACACAATTATTCATATTCCCATTAGATAAATTGTCAGGCATCACACTGAACAAAAAGGCTGGTTTCTTCAATTTTTCGTTTCTTTTTCCTTCGCTTTAGAATGGGAAATTGCATTGTCACTTGGGGTTCGCATTGTTAGTACGCAAAGACACACTGCAAACAATTTTACTTTTTATTGTAAGAAACTTGAGTTATTTTCACATGTGAAAATAATATACATTCCCTTATATTCCAACGGGCAACAAGAGAATAATCTTTCTTACAGGAAAAGAATAGATCCTATGTTAGGAAGATACAAAGCTGGAGTATTTGCCAGACAAAATTGTGAGCATTCTTTTTGTTTTTTTTTTTTAAATTTTCTGAGGGAGAATTCTTACCACTTCTTTTTATTCATAGAAAATTGTTGCTTATTTATTCTATGGAAATTATTTTTAAAGCCGAGTAAAGAAGAATGGGAGACAATAGTCATTGAGTGTGAAAATTTTAAGCATTGAAGAAGCAGAAGAGGAAAGATTTAAACTTCGAAAACTCAAAGGGTTGCAAAATGTGGTGTCTTCCTTTCTCCTCCTTTTCTTTTGCTGTTTGGTACTTTTCTAGGTGATGGGTTGGTTTCGAATTTCTGAGTTTAAAGCGGATCAAATTTTATTTCTTGGGCCAATATCAATTTTAAATTTGATTTGAAGTTGTATTTTGGGTCAATGTTGATTTTAAATTTCAGTTTGAAGCTCAATTTTCTTGGGTTAATGTGAATAGGAACTATGAGCCTAGAACTGCATTGGTTGCTTTACTGAATGGAACAATACAATTAGTGGATAGTAACAACATCCTTTCCTACTTTCTAAAGCTCAGTATCTTTATTTTTGCTCAGACCGGCTCACTCCACTCTCTCTCTCTCTCTCTCTTTCTGTGATTCTCTCTGATTCTGGGTTCCATAATGCCATTTTTGCTTCTGAAGAAACCTAATTGCAGGTTCCTTTTCCATTTCCAAGTTTCTGTTATGCTTTGTGCTGCTGTATTTTCTGTTGTTAATGAGGCTTGATTGAAATATGCATCATATTTTTGAAACTCTTTATCTCATTGTTTTTTGAGTAATTTTCTGGAAGTGAGGTTGAATACCAATTGTTGCTTCTTTTGGCTTGCATTGTATATAAATTAAGTTTATTCTGACTGTTGTCTTAGGTAAGGGGAATAATAATCTTGAGAAGATTGCTGAAAAGTAACCCACTGCTAGCTTTCTTTTTTGTAAATTAGTTTGTGAGACTATCAGTTAAAACTCATTTCAAAAAAGAGAGATTTTCTGCTCTACATATTTTCTTTGAATATGCATGTTGGATATGGTGTGCATTGTCTTGCTGTATATTGGTGTAGGTCGTGATGTCATTCCACGAGTGTGGAGGCGATGTTGGGGATGATGTACTTATCCCTCTTTCTCACTGGGTGACAGAAATTGGCCAAAAGAATCTTGATATATATATTTTACTAATAAAGAAGGGAAACGCAACACTGAATGTCTCACTTGGGGAATTGATAAAGAGCGGGTTTTAAGAGGCCGCACTGCTGTTGAGGTATAGCATTCTAGAATTACTTAGTTATGTTGGTCTTTTATTTCTATGGATTGTCATATCTCCTTTCCTATATTTGTCTTCTTTTACATGTTCCACTCATGTTTTAAAAGAAACTATTGCTAAACCTATTCCAACTTATATGTTCTATATTTCTAAGGATTTGTATGCTCTAAGAATCAGACCCTATGCATTCTTACTGTTTAATGCTGAGAGTTTCTATTTTGTTATATTATAATGGAACCAATGCTGGTTTACTTCGACTACTTGAGGAGCTTCAGAGTTGAATTTGATGAGTTTTTTGAGGAAGGAATAATATCAGAAATTGAAGTTGGATTAGGTCCGTGTGGAGAGCTACAGTATCCTTCTTATCCTGAACAGCATGGTTGGAAATATCCTGGTATTGGTGAATTCCAGGTACCTTAATAAATGGTGATCCCTCCTTTCATTAGTGGCATGCATAATAGCTAGGGACTGACGGTTATTTCTAAATATTAAGTTAATCTCCCTTCATTCATCTGTGGTTATATTTTATTACGGAAATCTACTGGTTTATATTATTTGTAGCAGTCCCACAAGATCTGCTTGCAGTCAAATATTAGTATTGATTTTTCTTTTCTTTTATGCCAGAATGTGTGGTATAAATTCATTCTCGATTGGTTTGTATTGAAAGTTTGTAACTTTGATTTTTGTGTTTTAGGGTTTACTCATGTGTATTATGACCTAATAAATGGCCACTGTGCAGACGCAAATGTGCTTAAGTGTGTGGTTAACTGTTTTTTATATGCTTTGTTTTCTTAGGATTGGCATGTTTAGTTGTTTTGTTTGGGGTTCTTGGGGTCAATCACTTTCATTGTTATTAGACTCGGGGGGGTTTTATTTCATTGGAGAAAAAGAATACATGTGACTGTTTGCCTAGGTGTATGTACAATTTTACAAATACATAAATTTTTTGATTGAGTTAAAGAAAGCGGTGTTATTTGATTGAATAATGAACCCCTAACCGTAGGTTATCCTGTATTTTTCTTATCAATATTTTTCTCATGGCTTTATGTATTCTTGATATTATAGTGAAAAATTAAAGATATTGGATTGGGGGGAGGATAGCTGAAACTGCTGCTCTTCGGGCGTCGTTTCAGCAAGAGGTTGCTGTTTGGCATAAGCTTGACCACCCAAATATCCCAAAGGTATAATTAATATATATTGGTTCTTCATCTCAGTGTGCATAAAGTCAAAATAGCTTCAGATGAAAACTTTGATACCGTTTGTTTTCCTAACAATATTTTGGTTATCAGCACTGGTAGGACATGCAATTGCATTTTAATTGTTCTTGATGCAATAAAGCCAATAACTCACAAGCGTCTAATTGAAAGAGAGCTCGAGGGATTTGGCATAAGGTCAGTCAGCTATAGCTTTGTTTCTGGTCTGTAATTTGTATAGTTTTGTCATTTTGTTACTTCAGTTTAGCAGATCTTAAGGCAATTTATGCATTGTGTTGAATTTATTCAACTTAAATGTGTTTCATTCATCCTAGGTGTTGGCGTCTGTTAGGTTTCTTCGAGATCTGATTTTAGAGAGTGATTCACCTCATATCATCATGACCATGCACGAACCACAGTTAATGAATTAGGTTCAATTCCGCTATTAAAATTTCATTGGCGTCTGTCAGGTTTTTTGATACAGAATGTAAGTGACCCCACTTCACGTACTCTGAAAGTATCTAAGCTTGGTAATGATTTTGACGGGCATGTCTGATGCCTTCTCAAACATGAATAGCCTGTGGGGTTTAAGATTGATATCAATTCCAAATTGTGGAATTGATATCAAAGGCAGATTGTAAAACTGATATCAAAGCCAATAGTAAGTGTCTGGGGGCTTCTTGGTATGATAGTTATGTCTGTTCTGTGTTTGTTTTATTTCCGTCTGTTCTTAGAGCGTACTCCTTATCCTTTGATATGTAATTTGTGTTAGCTTAAACGAAAGGTTTGTCTCTTCTCAAAAGTGATGAATCCAACATGTTACTCTATGGTCTTTAAATCCCACGGTGTGTTCGAAGTGCTGGATGGGTTGTGCTTTTACAAACCCTAATAAAATTATATTTGAATCATGCTGTCTGATAACTCTGTTTTTCCTTTTTTCCTGTTTGTGGTTTTTAGTCTGTCATTTAATTGGTGTAGCTTTGCTAGGATCTCTGTTCCAACAGTGTGTGATTAGTGCTAATGGAATTTCAGCACTGTTTCTGAGCTATTGTTCGAATTATTGTATTGTACATTCAATTGAGCCAATGAAGCATGTGTGCCAACGAATTTTTAAGAGTTCGGCTTCGTTTTCTCCCTTTGGTCTTTAATATTTAAGTGTGAGGCACCTGGTTGTTGACTAACTGAGTCCCTTCTCTAAGTTTTTTAGTAGATATTGTGTAATTTGCTTTTATGAGCACTTCTTTAAGCTGTCAAGTTCCCAAAATGTACAAGGAGATATCAAGTTTAACAAGTCACGAACTGTGATCAATCCAAATGCAGTGAAATTAGAGATTTTACACTTAAAAACTCAGTTAGCTTTAGACCATAGGATTAGCATTTTGCACATGTGAGTATCATTGACCTGCTCATTTTATTTTTCTAGATAAGAAACAAACTGTCATTGAAGAGAGAAGAAAGTGTACAAAAACAAAGTTTCTGTAAGCTTGCATTTATTTTTTGCATTTATATGCCTAATATTTTAATTCCTTTTCTTGGCATTACCTATTGAAATGGTTGCCTACACTACAGGACACATTTGTGTGAACTACATGTTTCTTCTGTTTCTTAAGGAAACATAATTTTTTTGGAAACCATATCTTTCTAATCAAAGACGTTCAGGTTCTTCCCACTCATTGTACAATGTGTTTGTATGCTAGCTCACTTGAATGTATATAAAAGCAAAACTGCTTATCTTATCGACCTCATTCACTCATGTATCCTTTCATAATTGTGTTGAATTTATTCAACTTAAATGTGTTTATATGCATTTTTTAGTTAAACTACTATATTTTTGTTCAATCGACTGCAACTCATGCCTCAGTTTGCTTCACAAACCTCTACGGTTAGCTTCCATACAATATGTTGCAAGTTTGAGGATATCTTTACATTTTAATTTCTGCTCTCTGGTTGCTTCAAGTTTGTAATTTTACGTGCTACACTGCCGTTTAAGGCATATGTTGCACAAGTGAGGTACGTAGACTGCAGGGCATATATTTTGTCGTCTTAACTGCAGGGGCAAAATATGTGTAAACTGCAGCTTGCATCTGTTTCTTCAGTTTTGTATGGAAACAAACCTTCTGCTTATTTTTGCCTTTGAAAAGTTGTGGTTACAAAATTAGCTACTTGAACAAGTCCTCAACACTTTCTATTTTTAATTACCTGTTGAAATGGCTGTTTACACTGCATGACACATATTATATATGTGAACTAAATGTTTCTTTTGTTTCTTAAGGAAACAGAACTTTTTTGGAAACCTTCTCTTTCTAATCAAAGACGTTCAGTTTGTTCTCACTCATTGTACAATGTGTTTATATGTCAACTCACTTGAATGTATATAAAAGCAAAATTGCTTATTTTATCGATCTCATTCACTTATGTATCCCTTAGTTTGTTCATAATTGTGTTGAATTTATTCAACTTAAATGTGTTTTATTCATTCGATTACGCCTGAAACAGCTGGTTCCCGTGGCAACGCATGGGCCTAATTTCTAGTTATTCCTAAAATTGAAATGTCGTACCTGGATTTGTCAATGCAATGTTATGCCAAGTATTGCACGATAAAGAACCATAACATAATTTAATTTTCCACTTATACTCCATAATTGTCCTTAGTTTACTAACCAGTACATCCTATGATGATTTTTTTTGCATTTTCATTCTTAATCAAATTGCATTAACTTAGTGCAGTTTCTTAAAACCCGTTCCCTTGTCATGACTTCATATTAAATCATTAAAACATATCTACTTTGTAATCATGTTGCGTAAGAGTAGTTAAGACTTAAGTAGCAAACAGTCTGCAAGTACAACTTCAATTGTTTAGATGCACCTACACAGAAATTTTGCATGGCTAAAGAAACACAACTTCAATTCAGCGTTTGCATTTTATTCTAAGTGGTAGTTCGAGGATGAAATGTGCATGAACAGAACGATAAAAGCAATTATGTCATGCAAGTTACACCTGGCTTTAGCTATGCAGAAATTTTTCATGGGAAATAATTAAGCAAGCTGCTTTCATCAGTTTCGTACAAGGAAAAAACACCCATAATCAGAAAGAAAGCTTCCCTCTCCTTCTCCAAAGAAAGGAACTTCAGATGGGAGACTGTTGTAACAGCCAGTCTTTTGTGGTCCCTTCTCTTCCCACTGAGGTTTTCCTTCCTTGCGTGCAGCCATCTTTAGGTCACCCATCCTAAAAGCAACAAGGTTGTAAATAGTAAAAATTCAATAGCAACCAAATTTTCGTCAGAGGAATGAAAGATTTTTTTAACATACATGTACTTGTCATAACACTGGAATTCACCGATTCCAGGAAACTTCCATCTACCATCACCAAAAGGATGTGCAGGATATCTGTGTGAGCAATGTTGCATAAGAAATCATTGGTCTGGCTTCATACTCGTAGTTCTAGTGTAACTGTAACATACTTAAGTTCACCAGAAGGACCATGACCAACACTAATTTCTTCTATTACAGTTCCGATTAAGAATTCAAATTTCTTAGCAAAACTTGACATGAAATCTTCATAACATTGGAGGGCAGTCCGTCCGCAAAAGAGAGGAACATGGTCAACTCTCAGTGTAAGATAGTCATCATTGGAAAATCCATTTTGGTCCCAATAATATATATGCTTATTCTGATCACCAATCTGGGAAGAAAAAAAGAAGAGGTCAACTTCTTTATCTAGATTCAAGATTCAAACTGATAGGTGTAATGAAGGCCAAACTATAGTTTTTCTTTCACATCCCTTTGCATTGATAAACTTTTTAAGCACATCGAATCTAAAATCAAGTATGCCAATGGGGAACACAGTACCATAGCACGTTGTAGAGCACGAAACTGAAGAAACATTGATATTATCTCTAGTCATCCAAATGGGTTATGTTTCTTAAAGTATGACTGGGTAAATTGAGCGTTGCAATACAGCCATGGGCATTGTACCAGACTAATAACTTCAAATGGGATTTCAAAATATCAAAGAAGACAAACCTCTATGATCCTAAGTGGAAGAGTTACACCCCCTTTTCTGCTAGAAGAAGAGTTAACGTTTGAGTGAAAAGACAAGGCAACATGCAACTTCAAATCTGAGTCAGAAATCAGATTGAAAAGCTCTTCATATAGAGACCAATCATATGCAAGAGGAGAGAAACGCTCTACAATTCCCCACCAAACCTCAACTGCAATTCCGTGGACACCTGCCAACTTGAGTGCTTTTAGAGCTACAGTTGAGGCCTTGATTCTGAAACAACAATAAATCGAGCAATATATATGGAGAGTCTGTCTCACTTGAAAGGAAACTAAATTCAAAATAAACAAATTTAGAACCATTTTGAAACGTACGTATATATAACTTGAATTGGGAAGAGATGAAAATAGTTAGCTGCAACCTTGTAGCCAATCATACTCCGTCGTTTAAAAGAGTATAACAATTAAATTAAGAACGAAAATGCATCATAGCCTCATCAACAAAAAGTCATAATTAAACTTACTTCATAATCCTTGGACGCCCCGTACCATCACTGCAGAAGGCATCGACAGGCATCATCACATATATGGGAATTCTGTTATCTCGGGAAGACGACAATATCGAGGACCTCGAATTCTCTCGTGCATCCATACTGCAAGCAACAAATCATCTAATTATCACACAGACACGTTTATACGATCCAATTTGAACATTCAAAAGCAATAAACTATCTCAGAAACTTATCGTCAAATCGATTATAAGCATTCGCGCCTAAATTTCATTGTTTTGAGTTTATCAGCAACCCAACTGAACCTAGTCAAGTATTCACTTCAGTAAACTCTACAGTAACTCAAAAATTTTGTAAATTTTCCTGCGTTTTCTCGGTAACCAAACAGACCGTGCAACTCAAAAGAAAACGGAAAAAAAAAACCGTAATTGTGTGAGATAAACCTGAGAATACTGTTTCTGACAAGGGATGGGCTGCAGCGAGTGAAGAAGCCTTTTTTAAAGACGGGAAGGGTCGAAACGTTTCAGAGGATGTTTCGGCGTCGGCCTTGTCGTCGAAACTGACTTCTCTTAAGCAGAAGAAGCTGCTCCTCGCTGTTGTGCATTTGCAGGCGACTGCCATGTCCGCCATTGCCATGGATCACAGAGAATCTCTCAGCGATAGAGAGAGCAAATCCCAGTGTTTGTAATTTTCATTTGCAACTGAAATGTACTGACTGACTCCGTGTGTTGTGGTATTTTTGGGTATTAGTTTTGTGGCCGCTCGAGATGCTTATTTCAACTTCTCACATATTACTTACTAATTTATGTTATTTAACTGTTTCAATTGATTGGAAAATAAAAAAGATGTGTGAAAAGTAAAAATAGATGTAGATATCACCACACAAAAGTTATCTTTGTATGATTTTTTTTTTGTCAAAAGATATTTGCATTAGGATAATATCAAGTAACTAAAATTTTAAAACAAATTTGCAAAAGTGCTACCAATAAAAAATAAACATTTTGATTTTATTCATAATTTGTAAGTATTGAGTTATGAATCAACTAGCCCTTCAAATTCCATGCTTGTTAGTAAACATGCAAAAAGTCGAGAACTCGGCGAAAGCTTGAGTTGGTTCTCCCCCATAAACCAAATAGAAGGCTGCTCACATTGTTTGGGAACCTCCTGATATTCGTTGGTATAAGCATAACGTTGATGGTTCAAAATTGGTGCGGGTGGAGTTCTCTGTCAATTTGGGACAAGAAGATCTTATTGACAGAGGTGTTGTCACTTTGTTCTAACAAAATATGGTTGATAGCTATTATCCTCTTAATACTTGATACAATTGTGAGCAGATGCAAAACATTGATGAGTCAATTGGTTAGATGTGGGCTGAGATGAAGCATAAAGCATGTTTTCAGGGAGTAGAATTGTGTTGCTCATCAGTTGCCAAATTGGAGTTTTAATATGGATCTCGACAGCTTTGTCTTCAATAACCCCCCATACGGCCTACCTGGATTGGATCAACTCTCGTAGATGGTTTTCTTGGCATTACTAAGCTGCGATGCTTCCTGCAGTGATCTAAGCCTCACATCTCTGTTTATACTTTTGACTATATATCTTAAAGCTCTCAGTGAACGGCAAAATAATTAGTCATCTGTTTCCAATAGGTCAACAGAAAAAAGTTTGTGTATAGATTAGTAATAGCAAATTCCTCTGAGGAGAAAAGATGGAAATGATGATTATTTCTCCAAGCAATGAAGACTAAAATAATTTGCCAAATTACATCTCTGTGTTACATAGAGACCCCGATCCACCTTAATCTGATCCATCTTTCTACACCGTTTTGTTCTGTTTTTCAAATTAATACACTGAAAAATTAACTGCTATTTAATTAACAATTTCACCGTTTAAATTACTTCCGTTTCAGTGTATTATCCTCTCATTCTAATCTGACAATAATTCTTCTTCCATGATCAATTCGTTATGATTTACTACATTCAAGTGTATTTTTTTTTAAATATTCTGAGGTTTTTTTACATTTTTGGCACCACTTTTATTCCATTTCGATTAAAATTAACAAATTTGATTAGAATCTTCACATTCTATACTACTCATTTACAGACAAATTCCATGAAATTTCTCAATTACATAAGGGTAAATCGCCAAAATGGTCCATGAGATTCCAAATCGATAAAAGTGGTTCCTGACATTGTCCACCATCCATCATTTTGGTCCTTCTGTTAAAAATTCCGTTAAGTGTCCCGGAGCTCTTGGCCGGAAGTTTGGGCAATTTTCAAAGCTTCATAACTCAATCGTTTCTTAACCAAATTTGACCCATAATATATCAAAATGAAGATAGGAAAGTGTAGAATATGATTATACCTATTTCGAATCCCAATGGTTGCTGGAGATGGCCGGAAAATAGCCTCAAAGTTGACTGGTCCAAGTGAAAACTTGAAAACTCTCCGGAAACTAGGTAAACTTTAAACGTTCATAACTTCTTCAATACTCAACGAAATCAAGTGATTCAAAAATGAAAATCATACTTCTCGACGAGATGAAGAGAATGATACCTTTTTTTATGGCTATCTCTCCGTTGTTTAGCCGGAAAACGGCTCGAAAGTGGCTAACTTGAGACCAAGATAGCCACTTTCGAGCCGTTTTCTGACCAAACCACGGCGCGTTAGCCATCAGAAAAGGTAAAATTCTCTCTGTCTCGTTGAGAAATATGATTTTTGTTTTTGAATCACTTGATTTCGTTGAGTTGAAGAAGTTATGAATGTTTAAAGTTTACCTAGTTTCCAGCGAGTTTTCAAGTTTTCACTCGGACCAGTCAACTTTGAGGCTATTTCCGCCAATCTCCGGAAACCATTGGGCTGCAAAATAGATATAATCTTATTCTACACTTTCCTATCTTCATTTTGATATATTATGGGTCGAATTTGCTTAAGAAACGATTGAGTTACGAAGCTTTGAAAATTGCCCAAACTTCCGGCCAAGAGCTCCGGGACACTTAACGGAGTTTTTAACGGAATGACCAAAATAATGGATGGTGGACAATCTCATGGACCACTTTTATCGATTTGGAATCTCATGGACCAAAGTGATGAGTTATGCAAATCTCAGGAACCATTTTGGTGATTTACCTATTATATAATACATATCCATGTCCTTTGCTAATTTCTCAACATCACTTCCTCATGATTTCCCAGATGATTAACCAATTTCTATTTTCACTATCTTAAATTACACAAAATTAAAGCTTTATCATGTTATTTAAAATTAGCTGACAAACACGCATTATCTGAACTCACAGCTCAAGTAAGTACTCAATTCTAAATGCTTTTAACAGCTCAAGTAAGTACTCAATTCTACATGCTTTTAACATCTTACTTTCAAATCGCAGTATTTACACTGTAGTATCCATTTCTTTCTACTCATGTATTCCTATTGTGCTATGTAATGAATGCAGTTGCTTCACCATTTCAATATGTTACTATCAGTTTCTTGCTTTTGTGTTGAGTATTGTAAGACAACAAACTTGCAATGTAAACAATCCTAATTTTTTGTTGATTATCATTTGCTATTTTCAGTTGTTTTTTTTTAGAAAAAAAAAACAAATGCCTCATATCACCAACACCAATATTTTCTGCCCTTGCTCACCTTGCAGAGTATTTGGTTCAATGGATTTACCTGGCATTGGATTACCTTTGTGTTTATCAACTATGCTCTAAACTAACTAAAATCATGGGTCTTTATTTTTCTTCAAAATTATCAACTATTTTCAGATGCTGTTTGTCAGCGTCCCTCTCTTCATATTTTCTTAATAAGCTTAAAATTTTTCTCATTACTTCTTTTAATTAATTTATTAACTTTGTAAATACTAAAACTCCAAATGCTTTTAACATATTGCTTTAAAATTGTACTATTTATACTGTATTACTGCCTTTTGTCTATCGATGAACTCCTGTTGAACTATGTGGTAAATTCAGTTGCTTCACTGTTGCAATACATTGCTATCAATTTATTGCTTTGGTGTTGAGTATTCTAACGCCAAAAACTTACAATATAAACAATACTAATTTTTGGTTAATTATAATATTGGAAGTCTTGGATGTCCAGTGGTTTATTAGGGTTTCCAAAGTATTATGGTGCTTCACTGTAAAACTGGATAATAGGGGTTTAGTTACTGTTTCCTAAGTTCCGGCTATTTTTCTTTTTCTTGTGTTTAGCAATTCTTGTATAGTTGTCAACTCCTTAATTCAAGGAGCTGTTGTTAGCTTCCCTAAGCCGCTCATTATGGCGTAAATTAAGGAAGGTTAGAGTCTTAAGGAGGGATAGCCTCCTTATATTTGCCTGTACAGTTGCGTTGCAGATTATGAAAGAAATACTAAACAACCTTTGAAAATCAACATGGTATCAGAGCAGGGAAAATAACCTGCTTCAGCATTACTATCATCTGATCTTATTCAACCTTCAATATGGCGGAAGAAAATCTTTCTGGGTCTGAAGCTAAAAGTTCATAGGTCATTTCCTCCTTGAACGTGTCTGAGATGGATGCCAACCCTAATCAAAGATTAAGCTCAGTCTTGTTGAATGAGTTTAATTACTTGCCTTGGTCAAGAGCAGTAAGTCTTGCCCTAGGTGGAAGGTTCAAGTTAGGGTTCATAAATGGAAGCATCGAAGTTCCTGATGCTTCCTCTTCAACTTATGAAACCTGGCTTTGCAAGGATCAGCTAGTTATGTCATGGCTCCTAAATTCCATGGAGCGTAAACTAGCTGAATTATTCTGAATCAGCATTCAAGCTATGGGAGAATGTCAAGGAAATGTATGGCAGTCAGAACAATGATGCACGTGTATTTCAATTAAAGAAGGACATTTCCAACCTGCAACAAGAAGGAAAACCCTTTGTACAACTTCTAGGCAGCATGAAGAGCATGTGGAATGAGTTGGAATTGTATCGACCCCATACAACTGAAGCGTCTGTGCTATTGAAGAGGGCAGAAGAAGACAAGATATTCCAACTCTTGTTAAGTCTCAATGCAGAATATGAAGACCTACGAAGCCACATACTCATGAACACCAAACTGCCTTCCTTCACCAGTGTATGTGCAACAATCCAACGTGAAGAAGTACGAAGGAAAGTCATGAACATTGGTACAAAGACCAATGTATCTGAAGCTAGGGCCTATCTAACCAATGAAAGAAAATACAAAGGGAAGAATCCACACTTGAAGTGCCAACACTGCAACTATACCGGTCATGTTAAGGAGACATGCTGGATTTTTCATCCAGAATTAAAACCTGATTTTATGAAGGACAACAAGGGCTTTCAGAAGCTGAACCGTGCTACACACAGATCCAACCATGCATCTGCCTTAACCTCAAATAGGTCTGACACATTCAAAAGCTTCACAGCAAATCCGGCTGCACTCATAAATGAGTTTGCAGCGTATCTTCAAAGCAAGAAAGGAGGCACTAAAAGTGATCAAACGGTCAGTTTTGAAGATGGAAACTCGATAACTTTGCTAGGCAAGTTTGCTGGTTTCCTGGCAGACACTGAACACATACCTCAAGAAGACATGCAAGGTATCATGAATTCATTCAAAACTGCTCTTAATGTAAATATGTTGCATGATTTTTGGGTTGTTGATTCGGGTGCCACAGATCATATGACCAACCAAGTTTCTAAGTTTCATAAGTTTGAAAAATTATCAAAACTTTCTCAAGTGTCAACTGCAAATG